TCCCCGGGCCCGGGCAGGGGCTGGGTGACCTTTCTTATACCCAGTGACACCTTTTGGTCTGCGTAAGTTATGACCTCGGGCCCGTGGGCTCTCGTAATAGTCGATAAACGGTGAAAAAATGGTAAAAATTGAGTGATTTTCGACCAAAAAAATTCAGTTTTTCAGGTCTTTGGCACATTAGAGGGGTGACCCACGACCCCTCGTGGCTCAGAGTGTTGTCTTTTATGCTACTGAAGACAACTCAACGGTCACCTACCTTGGCCGACGACGTGGAGGCTGTCCGGGAGCCTTAACACAGTAGAAACATGAAAAACACCGCCTTTTTGCATAAAACGGCCGGTAGGGTCATCAAAGCTTTGTCTGATCGCAAAACCGAGGACAGATCTGAAATCAGCATTAAAAAACGCAACTTTTTGAGTGCTATTCCGTTGTGGAAATCGAAAAGTCGCAAATGTCGACGGCCCCCACAACGGCCTTGAAAATCGGAAAAATGGTTCAAAACGCCTTGTGGGTAGGCAAATTGTTTGCACGCTTCCGGCCACTCCCAGGCATGTCCTTAGGCTTAAAAAGTCGAAAGGGGACCCCCTCAGCCTAAAATAAATTTGTGGACAACCTCACTCTATGATTTATACTAGTTTCTGCAAAGTTAACGCTTGATATTTAACAATTCTGTCATGATTTGCCTGTAAATTCCCACGTATGTCAGTTTCGCCCGTTTCGACCGTTTCGACCGTTTCGACCGTCTTTTTCTCCGATCTGACTTGCGTCCTGAGGTCAGAAGGGTCGATTTAGGGGGGGGGGTCATTTTGGGTCGAAAATCGCTAGGACGCTCTGTTTGGCGGGAAAATTGGGTCTAATTAGTCAATTTTTCTGCAATTTCGGTTATTTTGACCCAATTTTCCCGCCAAACAGCGTCCTAGCGATTTTCGACCCAAAATGAACCCCCCCCCTAAATCGACCCTTCTGACCGCAGGACGCAAGTCAGATCGGAGAAAAAGATGGTCAAAACGGGCGAAACTGATAAACGTGGGAATTTACAGGCAAATCATGACAGAATTGTTAAATACCATGCGTTAACTTTGCAGAAACTAGTCA